GTGATTTATAGACGGTTATGCTAATACAGCTCTAGATCAGGGGTTGCAAAGTATAGAATATCAGATTATATATACAGTATCATCTATACTACGTGTATATATGTTAATATATATGTATATATACACACACACACACAAATATATAGATAGTAAATATTAATACTTTGTAGGCCATGTAGACTCTGTGCAACTATTCAACTCTGCCACGGAAGTAGAAAGCAGCCATGGACATGAAAACAAATGGCTATAGCTATAGTTCTAATAAAATGAAATGGGCAACGGGCCAACTTGGCCTGTAGGCCATAGACAATCCCTGTCCTAGACTCAAAGTTTACTGTTCTACAGTGAACTTGTCTCACAGGATCATGTCTTGGGATCAACCCAATCGATTTTCCATTCTATCATCTCTACCCTATTATCACTGTATATTTGTACAGTGCAGCCAAAGCACTTACATGGTAACTTAACACATTTGATCCCCAGTCCTCTGTGAGCTAAGAAGGGTCAATCTGGTCTTCTTTGTATTGATCAGAAAAAGGTTTAAGTGTGAATCATTCAAGGTCACAGAGCTACTGAGAGGCAAAATCCATATTTCCTAGTTATCCTGGTTCAGTGCTTTTTAAAAATACACGATTAGAAGCCTTATGTCTACTTCATTGTTCTTCTCAGCTTCCACTGTTACTTCCTTTCTGATTCAAACTTCAGTGAAGCATTATGCATTTTTAAGACCTTGAATTTTCTTCTCAACTATAGCTTGTAGCCCCAAATTGAAAATTCTATTTTGAGGATATCAAGTATAAAAAGAATGCTTGTGATAGGGAGGGGAAATTGGTAATAAAAAATTAAAAATTTTTTTTTTCTAGTTTAAAGCAAATTCTAGTCATTCAAGGAGAGAGAACACGCTTTTAATTTCAGTGTGAGAGGAAAAACAGAGAGGCAGGATACAGATCAACGCGCCATCCACGGACTATACACATGATATTATTAGCATCTAAATACTAAAATTTCCTCTGTAAAACCCAAACTGTTAGGATACTCTTTAGTAGACAATTTAAAAATGCTAGAGAGGACACTTAACAGTCAAAATTAGACATGACTTGAAATTCCCAGAGGAAACCCATACACTAATGCCAAAGTGTCCAGCCCCATCATCTAATAGCTGACCTGGTTTTCTCTTTTGTAAAATGGAGGGATACCGACTTTATAGCATTGAAGACTGAAAATACTGTGTACAGATCAAGTGACACAGTATATATGGCAAGCTCTCGTTAAATGTGGCTATTTAGCGAACTTTGCGCTTAGAAAGAAAAATAAAACCTATACCGAACCATTAATTAGCAGCTAAACAAGCCAACGACTGCTTCCTGTCTACACTTCTAGTTATCCCTGTCCAGCTGACAGTAAATAGCAGGTCCTAGGGAAGACTATGGTCTTGCTCCCCCTGATCCGACCAATCCCACTTCACGTGTTTTCTGTTACTATTCCTTCTTGCAGTCTGAACAAAACCATTCAGCTCTCCTACACTGTATCCAAGATAATCAGACCAGAGTAAAATTTAGTTTCTATGTTCTACTTCTCTTAGGATTTTTTTTCGTGATTTTTAAAACAGATCCTGAATGGAACAAAAAAGCTTTGTATCCCTTTTAAATAAATTTTGGAAGTCATATATATGATTAAAGAACAAGCAGGTGAGTTGCAAAGTAGCAGCTGCTGGCAAAGGGCTTCTGTTGTTTGAAAAAAAAATATACTCTAAAAATTACCACATTTTGGTCACAATATTAATTTTGAAATTCCAAATACTAAAAAAGGATGTGAGTTAAAAAAAAAAAGTGTATGTATGTATTTGAAGAGGGTGTAAGTTAAAAAAAAAAAAATTAGAGAAACACTGCCCTAGACTTTTGTGGAATGTAAAACTTAATTTTTTACTATTTTGCTGAGCCTTACTATAAAAATACAGATGGCACAGCTGTTGTATATCTTCAACCACTTGATTATAAATTGCTTTCAAAAGTAATTTATTTGGATTTTCTGTATCCTTTAATGAATTGCAAATATATTAACAGAAAAGGCTTTCCCCTCC